GTTGACCGCAGGGAGTGGACCGCTTAGTTCACTTCCCCGAAAAGCACCATGTGGATCTCGAGATCCGCCGGCGCATCTCTCGCTCCGGCCGCCCTCAGCATTGGAGGCATATGTTGACTTCTTGAGGTACTCTTCTTGGAATGGTTTTCAAGGGACACCGAGAGGGACCACCAATACTTTGCGGGCCGCTTGTGAGACACACTAGTGACGAGATCAGACTAAGCCAACTTTGGATGATTTCCAATTGCTTCATCATGTTTCTCATGTTTGTTTTTGAAGGGATGCTACCATGACTCGTACTGAACACATGGAGAATGTTTGGCTGCCTTCATGACAGATCAATCCACGGCTGCCGAGTTGTTGGGTCTTTCCCAGGGCGATCCTGGCGCTCTGTGCCATGTGCTGAGCTCCTTTGGGGGCTGACGGAGGCAGGGGTTGATGTTTTCCGGCTTGGGGCTTGTGAGGAATTGAGAGGCGTCAGGGCATCCTGTTGAAAATAGATGGCACCGGCTTCAGTGTGCTTCCTTTTCATTTTTGTTCGAAAAGGACAGTTCAAGCTGGGGCTGTCGGATCCCTGCAGGTCAGATGCCGGAGGGGAGGGGGGGGGTTGAGAGGAGCTGTGTCATCCTGCTTGCTCGCTCGCTCGCTCGCTTGCTCGCTCGCTTGCTTGCTTGCTTGCTTTATGATGGGATGTGTCTGTTAAACCCAAGCCGGGATTGCGACAAGCCAAGGCTTCCAGGAGGTCTGTGAAGCATCCGAACGCCGCTTCCGCCGCCGCTTTTGGCTGCCAGGGTGTTTCAGCCACCCCGCGGATTCTGTTTGCCCCGCCTTTCGCTTGCCCTGGGAAAGATGGGTCGCCGCCGACCCCTCAGAACCCGTACACCCAGCGAGTGGGTGAGGGCGTGGGTCCGGGAAGGGACAAAGGGGGGGCGAGCATTGCTTTCTTTCTGGTTTTCTGGGGTTCTTTCTGGTTCCGGGTACATGCAAGTGGGACTTCATGCTCTTCCATGCGATGTCTTAGTTTGCTGACAAGGAGGAGGGGGGTTGAAGGGAAACTGAAAAGAAGCCGAACATCTACTTGTGGCGGGCCCTGGGCCCAAGCATGAGACCAGGTCCAGCGAAGTGCTACCGCTACAACAAGAACAAGCCGTACCCCAAGACCCGGTACTGCCGCGGTGTGCCGGACCCCAAGATCAGGATCTTCGATGTCGGAAAGAAGAAGATGCCGTGCGATGAGTTCCCGGCCACATGCCACCTGGTGTGCGATGAGGACCAGCAGCTGACCAGTGAGGCGCTGGAGGCGGCACGCATTGCGGTGAACAAGTACATGATCACAAACGCAGGCCGAGATTTCTTCCACATCCGCATGCGACCTCATCCCTTCAACGTGCTGCGAATCAACAAGACCTTGTCTTGTGCTGGTGCCGATCGCTTGTCAAGCGGCATGCGAGGAGCTTTCGGCAAGCCGTACGGCACCGCAGCCCGCGTGGACATTGGCCAGGTGCTGATTTCTGTGCGAACCAAGGATGAGAAGATCAACATTGCTGTGGAGGCTCTCCGCCGTGCCAAGTTCAAGTTCGCGGGTCGCCAGAAGGTGCACATCTCGAGCAAGTGGGGCTTCACGCGCTTCACCAGGAAGGAGTACGCCCAGTACAAGGCGCAGGGACGCCTCGTTCCGGATGGCACGACCGTGAAGTGGCTCTCCAGCCGCGGGCCGCTGTGGCGCCTCATCGGCCGCGAGAACGCATGAGTGCCAGCTTAGCGAGGGACGCTGCAGGGCGGGGTGAAAATTTGTCTGGCATGCCGACGGCTTTTGTGCAGTCTTGCAGGTGGCAATCTTGAACCAATCCGGCCGATATGTTTTTTGGCTGAGGGTCAAAGTTCAATTTCTGGTTTCAGATGACTTCGAGACGATGAAACAATCGGGATGAGGTCGTAGGATTGCGTTGGATTCGGGCTTGGGCAGTTTTGCTCGCAGTCATCTTTTGGGGCTCGGGTCGGTGAACCCCCTTCGGATCCATGGAGGGCAGTCAATGGGGCTTCAGATGCCATGGGAAGATGGGATTGGATAGGCGGTCGAAACCCGCAGCACCGCCAGCCCGATTCGTCTGAGAAAGGGTGCTGCTTTCTTGGCCCCGAACGGCCGAGCGGGGGGGAATTCATTCCGTCGCCGTGCCGCAGCCACGTTGCCCCCCCCCGACAAGTCCGGCGAGTCGGGCCAGCGACGCGCGAGCCATGGGACGCCGCCCTTCGGCGGCAGTTGAGTTGGGACCGAAGGGCGCAAAAATGGCGGGGGAACGTGCGTCTTTTTGGATGGTGCCAAGTATGGAAACCAGAAGGCGTGTAACAGTGTCCGATGGAAAGCCAGGCTGTTACCCTAAGATTTGTAGCAGGGGGTCACTTACTTTTAGCATCAACGAAGAGGTCGTTGCGCGTGTGGCCGTGTGAGCTCGTGTCTCCACCAATATTGGGTCAAGTTGACGCAAGCGCCTGGGACGAAATGCCCTTTGAATCCCTTTCATGGGTGTCTGTGGTCCAGAAAGGGGTTGCAGGGAAACTGAAAGGAAGCCGAAAAGGCATTGGTAGGGGTCACCGATAGGAGCCGAATCCAGTGAGAGTCTGAGACCAGGTCCAGCGAAGTGCTACCGCTACAACAAGAACAAGCCGTACCCCAAGACCCGGTACTGCCGCGGTGTGCCGGACCCCAAGATCAGGATCTTCGATGTCGGAAAGAAGAAGATGCCGTGCGATGAGTTCCCGGCCACATGCCACCTGGTGTGCGATGAGGACCAGCAGCTGACCAGTGAGGCGCTGGAGGCGGCACGCATTGCGGTGAACAAGTACATGATCACAAACGCAGGCCGAGATTTCTTCCACATCCGCATGCGACCTCATCCCTTCAACGTGCTGCGAATCAACAAGACCTTGTCTTGTGCTGGTGCCGATCGCTTGTCAAGCGGCATGCGAGGAGCTTTCGGCAAGCCGTACGGCACCGCAGCCCGCGTGGACATTGGCCAGGTGCTGATTTCTGTGCGAACCAAGGATGAGAAGATCAACATTGCTGTGGAGGCTCTCCGCCGTGCCAAGTTCAAGTTCGCGGGTCGCCAGAAGGTGCACATCTCGAGCAAGTGGGGCTTCACGCGCTTCACCAGGAAGGAGTACGCCCAGTACAAGGCGCAGGGACGCCTCGTTCCGGATGGCACGACCGTGAAGTGGCTCTCCAGCCGCGGGCCGCTGTGGCGCCTCATCGGCCGCGAGAACGCATGAGTGCCTGCTTTACCCGTGCAGAATTTTGGTATTGGCAGACATCAGAGGCTGTGACCGGCGGCCGTGACACCGTGGCATGCCTTTGGCGCGGCTTCCACAGTAAAATCGATTTGGGGCTGCTCGGTCGGCAAGGCAAAGGTTTCCTTTCCATCGAAGAGCGCAGAGTCCATGTGGAATTGATTGGCTTTGCGAGTTTGGACACACACCGTTTGACCCATTTTGTCCCTGCGGCCGTTTTTGAGCTTCCTGGTTCTCCGAATTTGCTTTTGGGGAGGTGTGCAAAAGGTTTCCGACAGGGGCCTGGTTCCGTCGGCATAGCATTTAGTTTCTTTTTGCCCGCACCGTTGACCTTTGTTTCCTCTTTTGACAGCCGAACAGTGGCCTGATTCCAGCCACAATCCGAGTAGCAAAACCCGTCAGCAACTGCGCAGATGTTTGTTTTAATTCCTTTTGGACAGCTTTCGGGTGACCAGCCAGCAGCTAAACTGAACAGAGATCCGCCTGCAACCCATCGAGCCCCAGCTGGCGCGCGCCCATGGAAGCCGCCGAGCGATTTTTCCGTCATGCGCCGGAGGATCGGCTGGGCGACCTACTTCCAGGGAGCGGCTGTGGTGATTGCGATCCTGGTGACCCTGCAATATGTGGCTTGGTCAAGAAAGAAACACGTAGGGAGGCCAGGAGAAAGCACCCGACAATTCTCGGGGTTGCTGGGGATGGTCAAAATTCCCCTCAGGGAATTTTAATCGTCATCCTGTGAGTGAAGCCGTGTTGCATATGTGGCTGTGGAAAGATGCCCGGAGCCTCGATTTTGGCAAACAATCGCGGCGCTCGTTTGGGGCAACTAGCGCCACAGTGAGGGAACCTCAACGGGGGGGGGGGGTTGCGGAGGCCAACGAACAGAGGTCTCATCTCACTAAGCCCTGACGGCGATGAGACTCCCCATCTCAAGCCGATTTTTGGGCGTCCTCCTTATGGTTAGCGCGATTTGGGTTTCCCTGTTGACTTCGCAAGGGGTGACGTACCAATTTATCACCCTTTGACATCAATTGCTGCTCGAAGCACTGGGGTTTCCACCCCTGCGGAAATAAGTGCAACTACAAAGCCATTCTTTTGGGGCATCCAATTTCCCCCGGGGCTTTCAGCTGAGGTGTATCATCCGCTCTTCTCGGAAGAGCCGAGCCCGGGCCCCGTCAAAGCCACGGAGCCGCCCACCCCGCCGCCGCCTGCGCGCCAGCGGGAGGCCGAAGAGCGCGAAGGCGCAGAGGCCGGGCGAAGACTTGCACGCACCTGGGAGGATGTGTGTTTTTATTGGTGAAGAAAGGAAGCCAATCATTGAAAGCTGCGGGAAATTCCGGTCCCTTCAAGAGAACCTTCAAGAGACCAAATCAAGTACCACTTTAGGACCAACCCCGCCTGAACAGTTTGGCGCAACCCCGCCTTCCCCACCGGGGCTCAGTTCTTTCCGCCAACAGCTCCGCTTCAGCGCCCCGCGCCAGGCACCGAAGGCCAAGGGTGAGCCCAACTGGGAGGCGGGCAACCAGCTGGTGATGCCCAGGCTGCTGTCGGCGAGACATGAGCTAGTGGCCTGGATCAACACCGTGGCCACCTTCCAGGAGACATGGGCGGTTTGAGGGCAGAGGGCCGGGCGGCGAGAGGGCGGCCGGGCGGTTTGAGGCCGAGACGAGGCTGCAGTTGTTTGTTTGCATGTTTGGGGTATGTTTAAAAGGACCATGTGCAGTTCTAGGTCGAGTTGGAACAAAAAAACAAAAAAAAGCAAATAATAAATAAATCGGAAGCCCTTTTTTGGAGGATGCTTGGAGCCAACACAGACAACCAGGAGGTTGAAGCCCTTCCCAAGCAGTCGAGGGCCCCCGTTCTTTTCACAGCTTTGAGGGCGATGTTCATTGTGGGTGAAAAGCATCCAGAGATTGAAGCCCCAACGTCAGAGTCAACTTCATGGACTTGATCCTGGGTGGCTGATCCCTGCAAAGTTTTTTGTTGTTTTTTTGGGGGGGAATGGGTTCCAAGGGATCCGAGAAATCCGCCGGAGATTTCTTGAAGGGTTTGGAACACGAGCAGAATGCTTTGAGTCTACCTCTCATCCGTTTCCATGACTTCCCGGAAGTTTTTCACCCCCAAAAGTTGTTTTTGGGAACTCCTTGGAGGGTTCACTGAAGGGGACCCACCCGTCGATTGGCTGACCCATCGGCCTCTCATATTTCTTGTTTTCTCAAACAACATGGACCCAAGGCCAAATCCTCCGGATCTTTCCTCGAAAGGGTTTGTTTCAATACATTCCTTGCTTCCAGTTCACCTCCCAAACCGACCGCTGCGTAGGAGGTCGAAGCCCTGAACATCTTGCGGAAGTCCCTGACCGTGGGCCGGGATGCTTTAAGCATCACCCGGCAGCTGCAGCACCTGCGGCCCGACGGCTGGCGCTTCTGCGTCCAGGAGCTTTCTGGGTCGGGCCGTGTTTGGGTTTGATCCTCTTTCTGCACGTCCAACATGACAACCTTGAAAAAATGTTCGTCCTGGACCACGCACTGGCGACAAAGCTAACTGTCCTTCAATCAGCAACCATCTCAGCAGTTTTTGCACTTGAAAACGGACATGCTCTAATCCGCAAGATCACCAGCGCAATGCGTACTTAGCCGGCGGCTGCTTTTAGACTTTTGTCGAGCCTGGCAGATCTAAGGCAGAATCTGAAGATATGGTTTTCGGTGTGTCGTTCAAGGGACATGACACTGCTGAAAGTCTGAGGTCCGTTTCCGGACAGACCTTGGTACCCAGCGAGTGTCCGTCGGAGCCCATGGATTTTCAACGAAATCACCTGAGGCAATACAGGGCAGGCACCCGTGTCTGGGGCAACACATTGTTGAGCCCCCACTTTCAATGAAAGGGACACCAAAACTTGCTGGGAGCCAAAATAATATTGTTGTGGGGTTCCACTTTCCAGGGAACCACAACATGAGATTGCTTGATTGAAACTGCTTCTCATATGATATACCATGAGATTGCTTCTATGAGAATTCCAGAGAAACACACAGTCGTGTTTCAAGCCATGGTTGACAAGGGGCGAATCGAATGGTCCAAAAACCGGTGCAGGAGGGCGAGCTTTGCCACTGCGATGGGCTGGTGCGCTATGGGGACTTCAGCAAGGAACGGGAGTCGCAGGTGTGGGGAACATTGCAACCCCTAGATATGTACGTATGCACATGCGCGCAATTGCATTATATAACATGAATGCATATACATATACAATCGAGAACCAGGTGATGCCAAGCTCAGTATGATGTGTGGTATTTGTGCCCTGTATGAGCTGACTCATGGACCTTCGGTTTGCCCACCTGACTTCAATGATGCTGCTCTACATTTCACGGCAATGCGCTCGAGGAGGCAAATTGTCTGATCTCCTTGGGCGTGGTTGACTCGGCTGGAAGGGAACTGATGAGGTCCTTTTGATGGTTGTGTGTTGTCTACCTTGCCGACTCTTGCCAGACTCGCTTTTGTGAACACGAATGATTTGGATGGATTGGTCACGAGGAGTCTGATTTGCATTATATGCCTTTTCACATATCTAACGCTAGATACACACACACATGACTTCTAAGCATGGTTCCTTTCTTTCTTTTCAGCAGGCGGTTAAAGCCAGGCTTCTTGGTTGCTTTCGCCTACGGTCTTATTTGGCCACCAAGAGGAGCCTCATCAAATGATATCCTAAGGTGATGTTATGGTGATGTTCAAGACCACGCGGCGCCATCACACGTGGCGACATGGCGACATGTGATGGCGCCATGGGGCTGGAGAGATTTGCGAATCAAGGCGGCTAGTGCACGCAGCTGGTCCTCCCAAGCCGATTTTCGATCTAAGTTGTCAAACCTAAAGGCCCTTCTTGGTAGATGGTTTGGTATCCCCTTTAAAAGGTGGCAAAGCCCCTATCTATGGGGTTGTCAAACTTTAGAGCCCTTGGTAGGTGTTTTGGTATCCCCTTTTTTGCGGGCGCCCCCCCCGCCCTTCGATTTGGTGCCGGATATCCAGGATGAGTGGGTGGAGCGGAAGGAGATAAAGAACCCGGTGCTTTGCCACTTTGGCCAGTTCGGGTTGACACCGGAGCAGGACGGCCTTGAATTCCATGCCAGGAAAAATCTGAAGGCGGTGAGCATGAGCGTAGAGACGCTATGTTTGGTGAAATGGATGGAATCTTACATCCGGTGGTGGTGGTGGTGGTGGTGGTGGTGGTGGTGGTGGTGGTGGTGGTGGTGGTGGTGGTGGTGGTGGTGGTGGTGGTGGTGGTGGTGGTGGTGGTGGTGGTGGTGGTGGTGGTGGTGTGGTGGTGGTGGTGTTGGTGTTGGTGGTGGTGGTGGTGGTGGTGGTGGTGGTGGTGGTGGTGGTGGTGGAAGATTTGCTTTGGGAGCCATGAGAACTTCAAAATGATTCCCTCGACATACGCATGCGTGCATATTTGCGCGCGCGCGCATGTGTGTGTGTGTGAAGCCTCCAAACCGATTGGATTCCTTCAATCCAGACCGCGATGACAACTCCGCCATTCCCCGCCAATCCCAAGGGGCCATTGGCCTTAGGAGTCTCCGATGGAGTCATCCATAGCAGAATTTCTTGAAAGGCGGCTGGCTTGCGAGCTGTCGCCAACAGCTACTTGGTGGAACAACAAGATGTAGCGCGTGTGCGTGCGATGCGTGATTGCATCTCAAAACCCAAAAACATGAGAACTGTGGCCAAAACAGTTGCAGATCAGATTGCATGGGACAGTCGATCACACTCAAACTGTCAATCAACTCGCAGGCCTCTCAAAGTCACTGCGATATGCTGGGAAAACGGTTTGCAATCTTGGGATTGGATCTTGTGCGTGGCCGCACACATATCGTAAGGGTGGACCTGTAGGATTTTGACACATGGCGTGGCGGGTCCTTTCAATCCAAAGGCATTTTGGGGCCGAGGTGACAAAGCTGGGTTGCTTGTGACCAAGTGGCCTGGATTTGTGTCAAAATTAGGCAAGCACACACACACACACACACACACACACACACACACACACACGGGGAGGACGAGTCTTTTGAGATATGGTAGTGTGTCAAGACGGGCCCCTCAGAAAGTTTTTTTTATTCCTGAATTTCTCCAAGTATGAAAAGGCCGCGCTTTGCAACTTGGAGTGGCTGGTTCCTTTCAGGAGAAACATGTCATCTTGGCCATTTGGAGGAGACCTAGCTTGGCACGGACAATGGGATGCGATTGGCGTGGGGTAAGACAGCGCAGGAGGCCGAATAAAACAACCAAGCATTGGCTCGCATCTTAAAGTCTTACAAGCGCGGCATTTAGAGAGGCGCCAAAAACGCGCAACGCGAGGACCTCTCCCCGGGCCACGTGAAGTATTGCCAGTGCCAGCCAAAGGCCAAGCACTGCCCCGCCAACCAGCCGCCGCTCGGCGGGGTAGGGGCTTGTGAATTGTGATGGACCCTCAAAACGGCTAGAGGACGTCTACCTTAAAGGGGAATCAAGAAGCATGTCAACCTTCTTGGCGTGGGAGGGGTGGCAGTGCAGCAGTCCATCTGTCTGAGGCTGAAGGCCCAACTCATTTAAAATCTGAGACCAAGGTACCGCGCGGAGAACTGCCCGGAGGGCGTGGAGACGCCGTGCCGCGCCGGCTGCGCCACGCGCATGTCCCGCGCCCACTGGCAGGCGGAAAGCGGACGGGCGGACTGGTAGATGGGCGCATGAGAAGGGGAGAAGGGGTCGAAGCAAATGAGCCAAACAAGTGGCAAGCTGGAGAAGCCTCTCAAGGGTCTTTGCTTGAACATCTATTTTTTGTCCCACGGGCTTGTGTCATTTGTCTCACAAGGAGAGCTATGAGGTCTTAGTTGCTGCGGAAGAATTTGGGCCAGCACTGTACTTTGGGCATGCGGCATACTTCTTGCTTTTCCCAACAGCCACAGTTTTGGCCTTGTGGTGGCCCGGTTCTGAGCAGTTTCCGGGGTCTCTTTTCTGGGGCAAATTTTTGGCCTGGACTCTTGCGTCACACCCAGCCGCGCGCCAAGCTGACCCCCCCACTTCCGGCAGTTGGTGGGCTCCTCGCGGGGGAAGCTCTGCGAGCGCTTCGAGCCCAACGACCTGCTCTGGTCCTGCGACGCCCGCCGCACCTTGAAGCCTCAGAAGGGGCACAAGCACGCGGAGGTGGGGGGGGCGGGGGGGCAGTGGACGCCCAAGGCCCAAAGGGGGCGGCGGGTTCGGAGGAGCTCATTTTGTTTTTTTTGAAGGCCAATTTTGCCCTTTAATACCAGGGCACCCTGTTCGAACTTCTTGTTTCCGCCCAGGAAATGAAGGGGGAATGTGAATGTGCAAGGGGCAGGGAGTCGCCCAAACCAGTTCGGAGCAAGCGACTTCCTTTTGCAGGTGAATGAAGTGCGAGACCCATCCGCTTTTACAAATGGGGCCTAAATGGGGCTTGAACAGAGGTAAGGAGCGCGTTCATTGGGGGTGACACGGGCAAAAGGAACCGCGGCGGCGGCTTCACATGCTAATGTGTTTTGCATTCGTTCCTCTACTGGGAAGCTACAATATACCCAGTCAAGGCAAAGTAGTTCCGACATATATCTATTAAGCATTGCGCAGCGCTTCAACTGAAAGCGACATCTGACAGTTCACACGGCAACAGTTCTAGGCGTTACTAGAACAGGTCGGTACAGGAAGCTGAGTGTGCGGGGCAAATGCAGCAGCTTGCGGGGCTACTTATTCCGGCGGAACAGCGCATGGGATCGTGTTAGACAGTTTTACAGCCCCTGGATGGCTTCTGAAAGGGGTCTGCTCGGACAGGGATTGTGCTTGCAAGCCGCCAGGTTGATTTGTGCGGGTTAGCATTGGGTGCTCGGATCCTGGGTTGCCGTGACGCCGTTACACCGAATAGGCTAAACGTATCCGTCCATACAATAGAACCCTCGGGGCATGAGCTCTTGGTCTAACGAAGCACTGCCCGCGATTTTTTGTCTGGGACGCCTACTTTTTCGCCCCCCTCCCCTCCCAGCGGGGCTCCAAAGAGGGGGGGGCTTCAAAGGGAGGGAAGGGGGAGGGCCCCCCCCCAAACCCCCCTCCCCAAAAATGGAAAACTCACGGGAGCTCGGCACTCGCTTCCCGCGCCGTACTCTTCTCGCCTGAGGCGGAGGAGTTGCTGGAGCGCGCCACCACGAAGCTCTGCGAGGACGGCTTGCTGCTCCCCGAGATGGAGGTCGCCGGGCGGAAGGGAGGGGCCCAAAAGGGGGGTGTGGTCTAAAGAAGAGGCTACACATTTTGGTGGTAAACAAACAGTTTGAGCTTTTTGTGGGCCATCCACACAGGAAGTGAGGCTGAACTCTTGGGACGTTATTCCAAGGGAAGAACTGGTTTCTTTTGAGAGTGTTGCTGCAGGGACGGTTTTCACGGCACACCACAATGACACCAGCATTTCGGGTCCAACCGCATCCTAACCTACAAAGGTGGTGTTTTTGGTCCTGAAAAACTGTCCAAGGGATTCCTTGCTTCAGAGACTTTGGTTTCCCTTTCGAATGGCTTGTCCAGGGCAAAGCTTTGGCTCCCCTGTTCAACGGAGGGGTCCTTATGTTTCGATGGCTTGGGTCATTCAATCACTTTTCTACCCGGAGACGCTTTCCTTTCCTTTGCCACCCCCCCCCCTCCCCTTTCAAAGGAGCCTCAACGAAAGGACACGCCCTAGGTGAGAACACACACCCCGGGAAAGACGCTTTCGAAACGTGTCCCGTGTCTGGCGAGTCGCCGTGGCGAGTCCCAGGTGTGGCTGGAGTGCGACTTCCTGAGCCAGTTTCTGCAGTGGACCACCCCGGCCTCCCCGTGGATCGAGGAGGCCTTCGTGACCTACGTGGGCGGCAAGAAGGACGGCAACTACGAGTGGCAGGCCTTCCCGTTTCAAACGGGGCGGGCAGGGGGAGGGGGGAGTGGGGCAGAGGCAAGGTACAGGCCGAAGTAGTTGGAGAATCTCTGAGACATGGCTGCTTTCAACCAGCCCCCCAGTCCCCAGTCAGGTTTCATGTTGGTGGATGGGAGGGTAGGGGCGGGGTGAACTGAAACGGGTCGGGTTCGACCGCCAAATGTTAGGGTCAGGCAACTTTTGGTGGTTTGGTTTGGTCGGATTTGAACCCCCAGACCTACCCTCCAAACCACCGTTCTAAGCCACTGACAGAGAAACTGAAAGGGGGGCAAAGAAGCCGGAGTGTTCCACTTGTTCGAAGTGGCGTGCGGCACTTTTGACGTGCCATCGCCTTTTTTGGTGGGTATTTGTAAAATGAAACAGCAGCCTTTTTTTTTTTTTTAAACTTTTACCAGTTAGACGTCCGACTTGCACCACGAAATCCAATGCGCCCAAATCCAAGTGGTGCCGATCCGCGTGGGATTTTGTGCACCCCGCATGCCTCGCTCGTCAAGGACCAAACAAAAACCATGGCAGCGGCGGTGAATTGGGCGGGCAGGCCGGCAACCAACTATCCCAGAGCCCAGGGTTGGGCAAAACCAGTTGGAACAGCCTGACCCTGGGGCCCACGGGAAAAGAAGGGGAGGTCGTTTGAGCAAAGGTGGCTGCAGGTTTGGCCATGTTGGCACCAGATGATTTTCAGGGGCCCGCGGTTGAAGTCTGCATCCCTTACTTACGGTTGTGATATCTACAAAACAAAACACATCTCTCACATCGTAGGGCATAGCGCATCCAGTAGCCGAGCTCTCCCCAAGCTACCCACTGCAGGCCACGAACCTGATCAGATCCATCGACCTCTTCTCCAGCCGGCCGCTGCATGGCTGGAGAGTGGGAGCAGGGAGATGGACATTCTGTCATTCCGCTCACTCGCGTTGAACAAAAAGACCCTCCAAATCAGGTTTCTTGGTTGACTGGCAAGTTGGTAAGACGGCTGGGCAGTTGGTAAGTTGGCAAGTTGTTTGGTAAGTTGACTTGATTGCTTGATTGCTTGCTTGATTGCTTGGTTTGGCTGGCTGGCTGGTTGTTTGATTGCTTGATTGGTTGCTTGATTGCTTGGTTTGGCTGGTTGACAGGTGGGTTTGGTTTACTTCAGGCTGGTCGTGGTCATCTTCGGCTCCGAGTTCGTGCCGCCGCTGTCCTGGCAGAACCTGCGGCACGTGATCTGCTTCCGGATGCGCCACATCTCCCGGGGCGTGGCTGGGACTGTTCGGAGGATTCTTCCGGAAGCTTCAAATAGCAAATTCTCTACATTTGAGCTAAAAGGTGATTTTGTTTGTTTATTTATATTTTTTACTATATATATATAAACTTGTAAAGAAAGCATCAAATGACTGGTTTCAAGAATTGAACCGGTGGTTCTGAACTCAGACACCGCACGCGTTCCAATGCTCCGAACTCAGAAACCGAACATATGTGATTTTCCGGGATGCGGGGTTTTGGCCCATTTTGCAGAAGGGAAGGATCCATGAACAGAGTGAGGATTCAGCTCAAAATTTGGCTAGGCATGTTCTTGGAATCTGACGCTTTGGACAGAAAGTGGACTGGCAACCAGGGCCTTTAGTAACTTTGAGACGACGGCAAAACCCAGGGAGTTTTTGCTGGCCCCCGGTCTCGGGTTCTGCAAACCGGCCCTGCACCAGACCTTGCTTGGCCTTGCTTGGATTTGGGATCTTTGATGCAGAAGTCGGCTGGTTTTAGGTGTTTGCAGGCAACTCTTGCTTCTTCGCTTTCGTTGGATTTGGGGGATAGCCTTGCAATCACACAGGAAGGTACCTCGGCAACCTAACCACCATTAACCTCCAAGCCAACCAAACCAATCCGCAAACCGCCAAACTGCCACACTAAGCCACCAAACCATCAAACCAAACCAGCAAGCCACCAGGCCACCAGTCCACCAAGCCACCTCCCAGCCACCCAGCCAGCAAGCCACCAAACCACCAAACCAAACCGCCAAACCACCAAACCACTGCTTGGTGGCTTGGCTTGGTGGTTTGGTGGCTTGGTTTGGCGGCTTGGTGGCTTGCTGATTTGGTTTGCTGATTTGGTTTGGTGGCTTGGGTCGGTGGCTTGGGTTGGTGCTTTGGCGGCTTGGTTTGCTTGGCTTGGTGGTTTGGCTTGATGCTTTGGCTTGGTGAATCCAAGCCCCAAACATACCCCAAGCCAAGGAGTTTTCGGAAGGCGCGGCGCTGGGGGCTTCCGAGGTCAGCTTCAACTTCAACAAGATCCGGTCCATCCTGGCGGCCCGGGTTCTGACGGGCATCCAGCTGGACACAGACCAGGCGACTGATGTTGGACTATAGGTCTGAGGTTTGGTGAGCCTGAAGCCACCCGAGTGGGTTGTCTCTAAATGGTGGGGGGGAACCCCTAGAGTGGTTTTTCTCCTTTGTTTTCCCTTTCGCACTCCCGAAAAAGAAAAAAAAAGGTCAAGGACAGACTGGTCCCCAAAAGCTGCAGACCCGAAAGCTTAGGGTTTTGACCCACAGCCATATAAAAGCATCCCCCAAAACCGCAAAACACTCGTTTTTCGCTGATATTTTTTTCGGTATTTTCGGGCTGGAGTAGGTGATCTTCAAGGGCATGGACCAGGTCTTCGCGGGCACCAAACGGGAGAGCCACGCCCAGTACCCCTGGCCCATTCTGCCGGTGCACTGGATGAGCCGGGACGAGGCGGCCCATTTTGGCTTTGCAAGGCAAAACCTACAAGGAAATCCAGCTTTTTTGGGGTGTCACCCTAGTTTGACACATACTCAGCGTTTTTTTATGGGTCCCGAACCTTTCCGGATTTCCGCCTTTTGGCCCTCATTGTGTGTTTTGTGGGGGCAGTTCTCGTAGGGTTTCCCCGTTTTGGATGGTTTCAGGAACGCCCTGTTGGTTTAACGTGCAGTGAGGTTCCCTTTGGGTTTGAGTCAGACCGGACGCGTGTAAATGATAAAGGTGGTCATGTCAGTCCTCCTTTTGAAAGCGTCCCCCCCCCCACTTTCCGATGGCACACTGGCACGCTTAGTTTCCTCACACTTCCAACTTTCTAAGGGAAAGAGAGGGTTTGGGCACAGAGATGACCAACACCTCGAAGAAACCTTCGCCACTGTGCCAGACAGCAAGTGCACTTGGCTTTTAGAAGGAAACATTCCTCTTGTCACAACCAGCTGGGGAAGATAAAAAGGAGATGGTTCAAGTACCAGTGGCTCAACATGTTTTTCTCAACCAGCTCAACCGAAGTGGCTCGATTCCGACTGAGACGCCGGGGAACCCCTATGCGCACTATGCCTTTAAGGGCTGGGACGGACCGCAGAGCATGCGCTGGAACCACGCCCATCCCACCTGGACGCTTGGCCTTGGAGGGCATGTTTTTTCCTTTCTTTTTTTTTTGGGGTGGGGGGTCGACCTGGTTTTTTTCACCATGTGAGGGGTGAATTTTAATGAGGGGGATCCTCCTGTGGACATCATTTAGGTGGGGATTTAGGTCCAACGCTTTGGGAAAAGATTCCCAATTCAGATTCATAGCCATGTGTTTTCAATCAAAGAGACGGTTTTGTTTCTCACATTTGGACCTTTTTCTCCACTTCATGGTTTCAACAGGCGTATTCTCCTGGGTGATGTTCCAACATGAAATGTGGGGGGGCTCCTGGCAGACCAAACTTTTCCTTCGATGAAAGGGCGCTCGGATTTTTTTTTCCTATCCATGGCAGTGGGCTCCAGCTATCAACTTCCGTGGCTGGAAGCGGTCGCCTTGTTCCAGTTTCCCACAAAGCAGCTTCCTTCTGACCGACGGTCGTTTTCTGGGCACTGTTGGGTTTTTTGTTTGGCAAGCCCGGGGAAACAGATAAAAAGCAGCAAAAACAGGGGGCCCTCATAGCCGCCCACACTGCGGGGAGAAGGGGGGGAAACAACATCCTTCGGGCAGACTCTTGTGTTTTGGGGCACTGTTGGTTTTTGTGTTTGGCAAGCCCACGAGGGTGGGAGTGATGCGTGAGCTCGAGTTGGGTTTCCCTTTGGCAAGCCAGGGGAAGGGGCGCGGGAGTGACGATCCGTCTTTTCGCTCTCCAGGACCTTCTGGGCCTTGATCTGGTTCGGGGATCTGATGCACGAGCGCATGCTGGCCGCCACCGGGCGGCGCACCTCCAGCAACGTCTTTGACCTGGAGAAGGCCGGCTGGCGGAGCGGCGCGCTGTTGGTGAGGGGTGGAACACGAGGCCTTAAATGGGAGACCTGCGCTCCTCGGTTTTATAGCGGCGCGTTTGCCTCTTCCCTGGACCTCGAACAATGAGGCTCTTGGGCCTTTGGGTTTTTGGTCCCTCTTGCAACTCTAGAAGTGGTTGGTTCCAACGGGGACTTGGATGGCACCGGGTGGCTTTCATATGGGCTCGGGCTTTGTCAGCCTATCAACCTTGCGGGTGTCTCGAAGGACCCCTTGAACCAAAGACCAAAGTACAGAAAGCGGTTGCCAGTTGGAAGGGGGCGCATTCTTTGTGGCTTTTTGAAAAATGAGCTTGCAGGTCCCTTTCGGTACTGGAGGGCAACTGAGAATGTGATCATGGTTGATACTCAGTTTGTGCGGAGATAGCAAGCCACCCCCCCTTTCTTGCGGGGAAAAAGGGGCTTGATTGGCAACTATTGGAAGCGTGTTTGGTGTAGTTCTATGAAGCTCGGTTTGTTGACCAAATCCTCGAAAGAGTGGCGCTCTCTGAGTGGCGAGCTTCCGGGGGGTTGAAGGTTGCGGGAGGGACCCCTATTTGAGTCATTGCTCTTCGGTCGCCTGTTGGTTTCCCTAGGTCCTTCTGAAGCAGCACGCCTGACCCTTTCTCCCACGTAAGATCCGTTGCCATGGCCTCCGCCGCACGCGAAGACTCATGAGGGTCATTGGGCTACCCCCATGCGGTTCTCCCAGTTGTTCTGGGAAGCCCTCGCCCGTTTTTGGCCTCCGCATCCAAGGGACCCCTCCCTCCCCGAGGCCGAGTGGTCATGGGAATCAACCACTCGGGTCCTGCAGGTTTCGGGGAAAAACTTGTGCTTCCCATGAGGATGGCAGGTTTTCGGAGGGCTGTCCACCACCAAACCCACATTATGAACCACAAAAACATAGCATGGAGGGTTACCCACCTGCTCACCTGATCAAGAACCACAAGAAGGGGAACCCCTCTTTGCTGCCAGGGTAGGGCTCGGGCGCGGTCGCGGGTTCGCTTCGGTCCTAGTTGCTGGCTCGCTTCGGTCCTAGTTTTCATCTCGCTTCGGTCCTAGTTTCCTTACTCGCTTCGGTCCTAGTTTCTTCGCCGTTGACTATGGTGTTTGAGAGGCAACATCCTTGTCGACCCCACCCCACCCGGCATGTCTTGTTGTTAGGTGTTTGAGAGGCAACATCCTTGTCGACCCCACCCCGCCCGGCATGTCTTGTTGTTAGGTGTTTGAGAGGCAACATCCTTGTCGACCCCACCCCGCCCGGCATGTCTTGTTGTTAGGTGTTTGAGAGGCAACATCCTTGTCGACCCCACCCCGCCCGGCATGTCTTGCTGTTAGGTGTTTGAGAGGCAACATCCTTGTCGACCCCACCCCACCCGGCAGTTCTTGTTGTTAGGTGCTTGAGAGGCAACATCCTTGTCGACCCCACCCCACGCGGCATGTCTTGTTGTTAGGTGTTTGAGAGGCAACACCCTTTGCGTGTGTCCTGTTGTTAGTGCTCAAAAAGCTATCTTCCACTGCGCCTGAAGTGATCCAAAAATTGCGACAGAAGTGATCCGCAAATGCTCAAACTACGACCAAAGTGAGTGGATTTCAGCTGCGACCAAAGTGATCCAAAAACTGCGACCAAAGTGATCCCCCCGCCCTCGGGCGCAGGTCAAGGAGGGGGAGGATCTGCTTGAGCTGGTGCGCAAGGGCGAGAAGGCCAAGGTGAAGCGCCATGTGGAGATGAGCGGCTAGCCCCAAGACCGGGCTCGGCTGGACGGAAGTGGCCTGTTGTGTTTTCTTGGCTGGCCATGTTTTCAAAGTGTCCCTTTTGGTGATGGTGAAAGGGGAGATGCAAGGAAGCCAGTTGCCTTTTGAGAACAGTTTTGTTGGAAAAGCAGGGGACCTGCTCCCGCTCCGAAGAGAGGCTTCCACGCAAACCAGGAGTTTCTGGTTTATGAACCAAAGGATGTGGGTCAAAAGGCTTGGGGCCCGGCCTCGAAATTCAATCCGAATGGGCCAGGTGAAGGTTCATGGTCATTTGTTGTAAAGAGGACGGACTGGGCTCGACTGAACAGCGCATGCCAACGGCAGCCAGGCCCACACATCCCCCGCGAGTGGTGGCCATTGCTTCGCTTTCCGAGTTCCGAGCGCGCGCGCGGGTTTTGAGGCAACGCCATGTGGGAGGACGAGGACATGATGAATGTGAACCTCTGGCGACACAAGGCGATTCTTCCAAACCAAGAGGTTTGGGCGCCATGGGTGGAGGCATGCTCTGTTGTGGTAAGAGGTCTCAAAAGGGCAGAGAGAGAGAGAGAGAGAGAGAGAGAGAGCACCACCATTTTGACGTTTCCTGAAACTCCGTTTTGGATGGCTTTTGCAGGGAAACCCAAAGGAAGCCGATGACTGGGTCTCCATTTCATGATGCAAGTACTCGCTTGGAGGGATAACTTCAGCACCTAGGTGAGTAAAGCCTGGTGCAAGTTCGACCTGGAGCCGAACCTCTTTCTGCTCAGGAAGAGCCTTGACCGCAACATCTACTTCGACCCCAAGTGGTACCCGGAGGGCGTGCCCGTGCTGTCGCTTGATTCAAGCCCATTCCGGAGGGATTTGATTCGAACGGCCGACTTCCCCTGGCCTCTGAAGTGTGCTTTTTTTGTCCAGGTCCCCCCAGTAGCGCTCCCTTTTACCCTTTTTTCGGGGGAGGGGGGTCCCCTATTGAAACAGACTGCAGACAAAAAAATGGCACCCTCATTCTAGCCTCTCTACTGGAGGACCTAGTTGTTGAGACTTCCCTGTGTGGTTTTGGGAATCAAAGGTACACCACCCATGTGGGGGTGCCCAAACTTTGAGTTGCAAAGCCCCCCAGGTTGGATCACGCGGGGTTTCAGAGGTTTTCGTCCGTCCATCACGCCCGGCCGGTCTGGGTTTGCCGAAGTGGCTGTGGGTCAAAAAGATAACCCCAAAATGGTTTGCCCTGGTAAATGGAGACATGGGCTAAAACCTGCGGCCTTTTGGTGGTTTAATCATACCCGGCCGGCCCATGAGGTTCTTGTCCATCCACAACACCAAGAACTTCGACCCCTCGGACCTCCTGCTGAAGCTGCTGGAGCTGTGCCAGAACGGGGTGGAGGACCCCCTGCGACGAATTTTCTCTCCTTTGGGTGTGGGTCAAAATTGAACCAGGGGAAGGCCTGTTTCAGTCATGGGCTCCATTTGCCAGGGTTCCATTTTGGGGTTCCCCCATTTTTGACCCACAGCCATTTTCAGCTCCGATAAAACATCCGTCGAGGTTTTTGTCTTGGAAGTCCTGGGTCAGGAAGTCGAAGGAAGCTGAAGGGAGGGGTCTTTTTTTGGCGAGGAGGCTGTTTCCGCACATACAAATTGGGTTTCGTAGCACCCACTTGCAAACCCAGGCGGCCAAGCAGAAGCCAGTCTGATCACTTTCAAAATAGCTGGGACCTCCGGTGGTTTCAGCTTTCGAGATTCATTTAGTGCCGGCACCGTCCAGCTTCCAAAAGGACGCCTGCAACAGGAACATCTAAGGGAGATTCGAGCCAAACACGCAGCAAAGGACTGGTTTTTGGCTCCATGCCCCGTGCATGTTCCTGAGCCTGGTTGCTCTCCCATGGAACCCCGGGGTCCGCCTTGAAACTGGCACCCAGGACCCGGGCAAGTATGCGTTTTCGTGGTGGGCGCCTCTGGGAATTTTCTCGCCAGGACGGCCTCGAGTGCCCGAAGGAGATGGAGTTCATGCTGCCCATCTGCCGGGCGGGGGTAGAGCAGGAGCGCAACCTGCGGCTGAAGATCGAGGACTACCCCACCCAGGCAGAGGGGGAGAAATGAGACATGGGCGTGGCTTCGTTTGAGGGCGCCCAAACATTTAAAGGGCCCCCTACTACGTGTTTTTGACAGAGGAGCTTTTTGGGGGTGTCTTCCTTGTAGGGGAACCGGTGATTCTCCCGGCACCAGCGACGAATTGACATTCCGCCGGCCAAGTGACAGCGTCATCTGCAGCCTTCCGCCTCCTTAAACAGAAGGATTAGCTTCCCTTTGGCCAACTGTGACAGCAAAGTGGAGCCTGATTTGGCCGGGCAGGGGGGGGGGGGGTGAGAATGGAGGAGCTCTATTTTGAGAACCTGACCGCCGTAAAATCCCACCGCAATCTTGGCCAGGATTATTTCTCGATGGAGTGACAATGTTAAAGTTTTGGCTTGCAACATTTTGGACGTCTTTCCCAGCACCTTTTTGGTCGCTCGAGGTTCAAACGGGGAGAAGCAACCCTATCATCTGACTCTTGGTAGTCCTTGCCAAACTATGGGGACCGAACAAAAACAAATGCCATCTTTGCCTCTAGGCCTGCTGCTGCCTGGAGCCCCGGTGGTCCCACCCGGCCTACTGGCACGGGAAGTGGTACCGCGATCTGAAGGAGGTCCCGGAGAAGAGCAACGGCAAGCAGCGCCGCTGCTTGGTGCCCTGAGAGCGAGCTGCCGGCTTCGCGTGGCTTTGTGAGGGGCGTGTGTCCTGGGGCGTGGCGCAAAGGTTTCGCCGGGCCGGGGCGCGGAATGCTCGGAAAAAGGGGAGAAAGGAGGGAGGGGAGAAGGAGCAGTTTGCCAAAGGCTTTGGCAGGAGGTTGTGGGATTTGAAGAATGGCGCTGGCTCGCGCGCCTTGCCCTCAAAGAATGGGCGGCAAGAAGAGCAGGGGCTGGCATTTTCATCCCGTAGCGGGTGGGCCGGCTGCGCCAGGCGGCAGGAGAGCCGAGCGCGCAGCAGGCCGGGTTGGGCAGCAATTATGGGAGCCGTGCTGTGAAGGATTCTGCGGATGAACTGAGGTGCATCTTGTTGCATCTGATTCCCTTCTCTTGGAGACAGATCCAACTGGATGTTGCCGGCTTAGTGGCAGCTTCCTTTTTTATTTATTTATCTCACAGCCAAAAATGGACCTGCCGCTTTGTAGCCACCTTTTTGCTCAAGCCGCAATCCACATCCGCGCTTTCAGTCAAAGCATCCCGCAGCAGGCCGGAGGGTGTGAACAAGATGCACGGATCTGGAATGGCCTCCGGGAGCTTTTTCGATGGGGAAACCCCGTTTAGAACCCTAAAAGGGCACACAGGCATTCGGCATTCCCCGTGCGGCAAAGTGAGCCTTGTCGAACAGAGACGCGCATGCAGAGTCGGACTGCTTCTCGCGGCTTTCTAAGCTTCTGCTTTGCCCCTTTTGACCCCCACAAGACGCCGCCTTTATATAACCACTTCCTCCGTTGGCCGAGCACCAAAGATGTGTTTCGGGGGGAACGGGTCCCTGAAAGCATCTTCCAAAGAAACCGGGATCCTAAGCATGGACTCTCTGCCCAAAGCGGCCTGGGGCCCGTGGGCTCAATGTGGCTGTGATGAATCCCTCGCCAGTCAAGGGCCTGGAAGGGGTCTCAGGGCCCTTGACCCACGTGAGGTGGTGAACCCGCCAATGAGATCAGACTCGTGCGTTTGAGTCTTGGGATTCTCACGCGAGCGCAAGATCCCCAGCTTCTGATGCCGGGTTCGAGCCCCACGGTTTGTGACTAGCTTGCCCCAGCTCGCCAATTGCCATGGATCAGGAACATAGCTGTCCTTCTAGATTCTAGGTCAGTGCCATTTATTTTACCAAGAGGACAGCTAGGGCTACAGGAAAATCACCAGGAAATTGGCCAGAAAAGCACCGGTCAGGATGTCCAGCTTCGCGCATGAATTCCGCCCTGCCATGGTCGCCCCTCGGCTTGCATGTCCTGGTTGACGGGTCCCTGGTGCTTGCCATTTCACTTGGGCCGTGTCTGAAGGCGGATCCCCCGATTCAAGAATGACGGGTTTTGTTCTTGGTTTCCCGAAGTCAACCCCGAAGGCCCTCAGAACAGTCAGACACACCCATTGGTCATGCCGTACCATCCTGTTGGCCTGTTGGCCTTTCGTGCAGGAAACGTAGGGTTGCAGCCGGTATCATCCATGGTTCCTTTGCGCTGCCGCGGTCAGCGAGTCAGCGCCGCGTCTTTGGAATCTGTGAATTGGAAGTGTGGCTCAAGCCCCTGTGTCGCCGCGACACGCAGGCTTTTTCGCGCAAACGTCCGGACGGGGTTGTTTCTGTTTTAGGACAAGTGGACCAGTTTTTCCACCGAACACCAGGACAGCTCAAGAGGCATGGGCCTTCCTCTCGAACCTCCGAGCCCAGATCGCAGATCTCATGGATTGGGTCAACACCGGATGGGCCCATTTTTTTCTTAAGGCGCACATGGGGTGACTCAACCAGTTTCCAACATGCAGGGGGGACTCACTGGTTTTTCCCGTGTCCACGGCTGAGTGGATACTTTGATCGTCTTGGGCGCATGGAGGGTCCTTGACCTCGGTGGCCCTGAGGAGGCGACTCGCAACCCACTGCCGGAGGCGCTTCAGGGGGCGCTTCAGGGGTCGCTTGAGGGATTCGAGAAGTTGGGATCGGGCCTCAGGGTTCAGCTTGCCACCGCTTGGCCGGCGCCAAGCGTCAGCCTGCGATGCGGGGGTCTTCGCCTGAATTCCCTCCCTCTCAACTTGCGGGTTTTCTCGGGGGCACGTGGGACTGGCCCCCGAAAAAGGGGAAAAATCCATCCATCCCCCCCCCCCCCTATCGCGGTTCGTTCCCAAGACGTTGATTCCAGCAACCCCCGGGCGGCCAGTCATTCCCTCGCTCGCACCGATCGCAAGCAGGTGACGTGGCTGTGGGTCAAACATAGGTAAATGGAAAGCTGGACGAACACCTGCGGGATTTTCGTGGTTCAATGATGACCCACACCCAGGGTGCTGGCTCCCCTTCGAAGCTTTCGCTTCGAGCCCAAAGTGGCACCATAGGTGTCCTTTTTGGTTGTTTTGGTAGAAAAATGGATGGCGATTCCTGGTTTACCTGGTGGTTTACTCATCTACCAGGGCCATCTATTTGCCCTAAAAGGGCACCTACGGGCAGGAGACCAAGTTCACCTCCGAGCGCACGGGCTCCCCGTCGCGGGAGGAGGCCGCCGGGGGTTTACCTGCCAGCGAGGCAGAAGATCTCTTCCCACCGAAGGGCCAGAGGAATAAAGGAGGACGGTTTTGGGAGTCTGATGTGTCAATGTATAGGGGACCAACATTTTGGGGCTTGTGAACAGTGAGATGTGCCGCTTCAAAACTATAGCGTGGCTTGGATCAATCACATGCAGCGATGCGATTGCGAGCGAAACCCATGGGTTTCCATGACCAACCCAAAGGGAATGTGCGGAAAGCAGGGAGGCGCAAGTTGTAATCCTTATGACCCATGCCTTTTGGTTGCCTTATGCCTCACGTCCTGCATTTTGACGCACAGCTGCTTTTGACACTGGGCTTGAAGAGAAGAGGCTCTCACACAAATCGGCGACCAGTTGAGAGCCAGGATTGGCTTGGGGATTCCTCCGTGCCTTGTCTTGGGTTCAAGGCAGCAATTTTGGATGCCCGAAATGGTGTATTCTTTTGCTGCCGTGTCCCGGACTGAGCTTTGACAACGAAAAGGGCGATGTCACCCAGCTAACCAAAGGTTGTTTGGTTCTCCAAGTGGCCCGAGTCTGAGCGAGCAGCTAGCTGCTTTTTGTGGGGACTGAACAACAGTTTGACGAGGCTTATGGCCTGGTCGGGTGTATGGCCTGGCCAAGCAAGGCACATACATCATGGGGGCTTGGGGAGGGAGCCCAAATAAGCCCTTCTTAAGCCCTTGGCCTTATTTAGGACATATTTGGGCTCCCCCCCCTCCCCTCCCTCCCCCCCAGCCCCCATGAATACAATCTTTGCGATCATCTTGCTGGGTGAATCATACCGACCTCACACGACCGAATTCGCCCCAAAAATGGTGGGTTGATGTGGGGGCTATTCCCCCCAAAGCTCCAAAGCGCCTGATTTCAGGCTGGTGAAACCTTGTAGTTCACCCAGATGGTTCCCCACACCGGGAAAACAAAAACAAAACCCACTGGGGGCCAGATCTCGGCCTCGGGTTCGTCGCGAGGAGCATTGCAGCGGCGGCTCGCTGGAGCGCTGGCAGGGCCCGTACTGGTGGAAGCCGCTCGGCGGGGCGCGGGGCGCGGTTGGGGAAGTTGGGATCCCAGGCGCCCCATGGGCACCGTCCGGGGTCCCGGAAAAGGAGAGGTGCAATTTGCGAGGCCGGGGGGGCCAGAAGGGAAGCGCCGAGGACCTGGCCATTTTTTGTTTTCCTTTTTATTTGTTTGTTTACAAAGGGCTATGAAAACCTGCCCGGAGTATGTTGCGGATTCTCCTTTTAAGCCCTTGGGTTCCACTTGAATCCGCGGACGCATCCAGGGACCCTTCCTCTCTGGTTAAGGGTCAGGCCGCCGCTTAGAAACACATCCGCCCTGTCAAAATGGTTGGGCCTGGCGGGGGGTGGGTGGGTGGGTGGATTTGAACCTGCGGGAAATGGCTGTCCAAAGGAAGCAGATGGGATTCTCTCCCTCTCTCTCTCTCTCTCTCTCTCTCTCTCTCTCTCTCTCGCCAACTGACTCTTTCTCTTGATTTTTCTCGGAGGGCTGTGTATTTTGGGTTTTTTGCTTGTTTTTCTTTAGGATTTTTTCCTGGATTTTGCCTTATCTGGCTTCTTAGCTTCTTGGCTTTTGGCTGCTGTCTTCTTGCAGTCTGGGCTTTTCGTCTTTTGGCTCGTGGCTTTTCGGTTTCTTGGCTTTTGGCTTTTTGGTTTTCTTCATTTTTGGCTTTTTGGCTTTTTGACTTTTTGGTTTTTGGGTACTCTTTGTGGCCTTTGTGGCTTTGGCTTTTCGCCTCCTCAGCATGACCAGTACCACCCCAGCATCACCGCCTTTTGGCTTTTGGGATGTTTGGTTGGTGGCTTCTTACCTCCCATGTTTCTGTAGATGGGGGGGGGGCTGCGTGCGCCCCCCAACCCCCCCGCTTCTTTGTAGGCAACGAACCCCAATGAATCCAACGCCTACCCTAAACTCACGTTTTGGCCCAAACCGCCCTAAACCAACCCTAAACCACCACGAAACCCACCCTAAACCACCACTAAAACTAGAACATACACAAACCCTAAATTAACCTTACAAAAACCAGCAAGTCTCCCCAACGAAAACCCTAAACATACCCACTCTAAACCAGCAAGAGACTATCCCTCAACCAGCTCTAAACCTACCCTCAACCAACCCTAAACCCCAAGCACCCCAAGCCAATCCCGAAACCCACCCTAACCCCACCCAAACCCAAACCACCCCCACTAAGCAAACCCTATAGCTTCCTAAAGCAACCCCAAAATCAATCCCTAACCCCCCGTACACCAGCACTAAACCCGCTCTAAGCCCACCCTGAACAAACCCAAAGCAAACACGACACCAACCGCCCCCTACCCCCCCAAACAAAGCAAACCAACACTAAACCATCCCACCTAAACACAACCACAGCCTAAACCAACTCTAAACTCACCCCAGTACCTAAAGCGCAGCCACCCCCAAACTAGCCTGGAACCCACCATGAACCGCTGAGGATGTTGAAAAGGATGCTGCCGAGTTAAAACGATGCTGGGGATGTTGACAGCGCTGGTGCAAAACGAGTCAAACCACAG